TTCACTATTATATATATTTTTTAATTTCAGTATTGTATATATATATGTGTACTGCAGACAAAGATTTAATCCCAAAACTAAATATTTTTCAGTATTTTATACATATTTTAAAATTTAGTATTATATGTATATATATTTTAAATTTCAGTATTATATATGCATATTTTAAATTTCAATATTACATATATATTGCAAGCGAAAGATTTCATCTCAAAACAAAATATTTTTCAGTGTGTTATATATATATTTTAAATTTTAGTATTACACATATATATTTTAAATTTCAGTGTTATATATTGCACATCGATTTGTATATAAAATTTATGATTATCTAAAAAATATCGATGACTAAAATTTTACTAAAATTTGTAACACTAATTTCTATATTCTTTTAAAATCTATTTTACTCAATTTTTCAAAGTTTTATTTTAAATTTCAGTAATTCATTTTTTCTTGTTTCCTATCATTCTTTTAAAATTATCAAATTTTTTCTTCGTGCAAAATTTATACAAATTGATAGATTTGAATTGTATATTATTATCCATTCGATAATATTATCAGTAACAGAATAATCAGTAATTAATTACCGTTTAAATATGATTATTTAGATAATGAAAAATTCGAATCCATTTCAATTCTCTGAATATACGCAAGAAAAACCAATTATGCATCCTGGAATTGGACGACGTCTACCGCCTACACCACTTTCAAGTCAAATATTATATTTGTCACAAACTGTTCCACCAACAGCAAATTCATCACCACAAGTAAAGAAATTCATGAATATTCCGGTTAGTTCTAAAGTTCATTTATTAAAATATTAAATTGGTAACATTTTTGAAATATATCAACAGCTGCCTTATAATTTTAACGTATAGTAAATTCTTTGATGTATAAATTTATGAAATAACCATTAAATATATTAGTTTACTGTAATCTTGGCCGAAATAATTACTTACAGTAACGTACAGTACTGTAAATACAATTTAGATTTAAATTTCTAACTAAAAATATTGTCGAGTAATTTTTTTTAAAGGACATGTGATTCATTATCTCAAAAACCGTTTGTTTATCAAGATAATTAAAAGGAAAAATAAAGCTGCAAGAATTTTTCTTTTATATAATCCGATAAAGTTTCCTGGAAATTACAAGTGATAAAATGATAAAAAACAGGTTCCTGAAAAAAAATCTGAAAATGGATATCACCGATTTTAAAAAATGTTACACTTAATGCTAAAACTTTCCTATGATCGCGAAAAATAGCCAGTGAAAGCAAATTTGTATAATAATTTATAACTCCGCTGATGTGATATAAGATAACGGTATAAATTTGTATGAAAAATTTTAGCATGCATATTAAATAAATTTATTAATTTTTATTGAAATATTAAAGACTTGATAAAGATAGAGAGTGTTTTAGAATTTTAATTAATTAAATTAATTAATCACAATTACTAAAGAATACATTCAGATAACTTTACAAATTACAAATTTGAATTTCTTTCTTCTGAAATAAAAGAACCATTCTAACTTATAAATCTTTCAGTATATTAAAATAGTAATTTTGCATGATTTATAAATTCAAATTTATCCTTGAATTAATTTCAAAAGACTGAAATTCTTTTGAAAATAAAAAAGGAATTCAATAAATTTTATTTATATGAAAATTTCAAATCATTTCTTTTTAACATAAGAACAAATGTACTTAAATAATGACAGATTGGAAAAGTCTGTTTTGATAAATTTTCAAGAATTGTTCATTTCAAAAATATTCAAATTCAATTTACGATTGGAAAGAATAAGACATTTCATCGAAAATATATATTTATTAAAAAACGATATATAATATAAAATATAAAAATGACATCAAAAAAAAAACGAATCGAATAATATAATATAATATAAAATATTTGTATAAATTATATAAATGAGTGATTACAAGGATGAAAGAAAGGAAAGGGAAGAAGAAGGGAACTTTAAATTGAATTTAAATTTAAATGATTACATTGAAGTAAGAGAGGAGGGAGAGGAAAAATTTGAAAAGGAACTAAATTTAAATTTAAATTTAAATTTGTCAATAATCAATGAAATATAAGGATTTCTTTGCAATTCATTTTAAACATTGTTAAACGTTGTAAATTTATTAGAGTGATAAAATTATAGTATCTTTTGATATTACTAATATTTATCTAAAATTTTGATAATTTCAAAAATATGTTTCATTTTAAACTGTTTCAATTAATTTGATTAATGATTTTGTATTATCATTTCAATTAATTAATTAATTGATTAATTTGTACTATCACATTCCACATATATTGTTTGAATTTTGAATTTGAATTTTTGAGCTTTGAATATTTGAATATTTGAATTTTGACATTTTTTATACCTTTCATTTAATTAATTTTTAAATTAAGAAAATTGGAAAAAAAATTTGAAGTCCCTCAAATTCAATTTAGGAGATGAAATAATTTAAATAATAAATTCTAAAATATTACAGAGTCATGGAGCGCATTCGTACGACGACAATTTTTTGATTAACAGATTCACTCAATCAAATTCAAGTAGTCGAAGAATGCTATTTGATGAAACGAAATTGGATCAACCGCGAATTCATAATTCAACGCCACTTATTGCTGCGTAAGTATTTTTCTTATTAAATATTTCAGTTCAAGAATTTGTCAAATTATTTTCAAAAAATTCAAATTAAATTTTTGTCGTAAATTTATAATTATTTTTTACAAAATTATTTTATAAGAATTCGTGTGAAAAATGTAAAATAAAAGAATGGATTGAAAGTCCGAAAATTATTTGATTCATTTTTTTGTATATTGCAAAAAATTTTTTCAACGATACATGACAAATTTTTTTATAGCAAATAAATTAAAATTTTTAAGAATTTAGCAATTTAAATTTTAGATCAATAACTTACTATATTACTATAACTTACCATAATTTTAAATCAATAACTTACTATATTGCTATAACTTGCTATAATTTTAAATCAAGTAACTTACTAGTAAGTTATTGATTTAAAAATCAAATCAAGTAACTTACTAGTAAGTTATTGATCTACTATATTACTATAACTTACTGGTAACTTACTATAATTTTAAATCAGTAACTTACGTTATAGTAACTTACTATATTTGAAGATAGTTGTTTACTTTATTTATTTTTTTGACTTATTAAAACAAATATTAGTTTGTTTATTTGGAAATTATTGATTGGATGAAATATTGCTGAATTTAATATAATCAAACAAATAGCAAATTTTTAATGAAATTTGATAAATAAAATAATGTTGCAAAATTTTCCCAATACTATTATTGTATGCCATTATCTTTCTATCAATCTATCATTAATCTTTCAATTGTTTTCTATCTTTTTAAAATTTTGTTGCTATTTATGAAAATATACAAAAATTGAATAATTTTCTTTTCTCGCGGAATTGAAATACATTAATGATATATGATATATATATATATATAGATAAATAGATGATATATATATCTATATGTGATATATATAGAAAGATATTTTGTAATATTAATATATATACAAAATATAATGGCGTACAATAATAATAATAATATATATACAAGAAATATATATATAGATAGATAGATAGATATATAGATATACATATCACATATGGAATCAAAATATATATATATTCTATTGTTATACATATCACATATGGAATCGAAATATATATATATTCTATTGTTCATAAAAGATGATGTTGTTTATGAAAATATACAAATCAAAATATATATATATATATAAATCAAAATCCTAATATATATATAAGTTTATCATATCATTTATCTCTTCTATAATTTCAACTATTTCATTTTTTTCTTATTTCAGTATTTTAGTTATTCGCATAAAATTATTCAATTATTTTTCTCCGAATAAAACTTATTATAACTTTTCATTTTTTCGCAGCAACAAATTTTGCTGTAAAAAAAAAATTCGATTATTTATAAATTTAATCAGATGTTATAAAAAGCTTCTTGTAACTTTTGAATTATTTATATGTGACAGTGACAGGTTGAAATTAAAACAACATTTAATGATCAAATCAATGAAATTTGGTATGATTGAATAACAGTTGTTGATTGATTAGTTATCATTTGCAATAATTAGCACTTATTATTTTTTAAATTTTTTACTATAAATTATAGAATTGCTAAATATTTCGAAATTGAATCATAGATGTATATAATTGATGAATGATTGTATTTTCTGTTTAAATTTATAAATTCTCATTTCGTGTCATTTTAAAATATTTGAAACAATGTTCGTTATAATTAATAATGATAATTACAATGCACGTTTGTTGAATGAATTTTATTGAGGTAGAATATTATTGACTTTCTCTGAGGAAAAAACGAAAGTGAAAAAATTAGGAAGAAATATGAGAAAAGAGTGGGAATGACCAGAGTAAGGAAGAAAGTAAAAGATGAGAAGACGGGAGAGAAAGTGGAAGATGTGAAGACGGGGGAGGTAGCGGAAGACAAGAAGACGGGGGAGGGAGCGGAAGATGAGAAGACGGGGGAGGGAACGGAAGATGAGAAGACGAGAGAGAGAACGGAAGATGAGAAGACGGGGGAGGGAACGGAAGATGAGAAGACGGGGGAGGGAACGGAAGATGAGAAGACGGGGGAGGAAGCGGAAGATGAGAAGACGGGGGAGGGGCGGAA